TCATTGTTGTTTGGCGGGTCTGGGCTGGGGATTCGAACCCGCCACCTTAGCTGTACGTGGCTGGCGCCTTAGCCGGTTGAGCTATAGGCGCCGAGCCCAAAAGGCTATTTATTATGAGTCCATTTATATGAATTATCAGAATTATCCACCAGAAAGTAGATTAGACTGCTTGCCAGGGACTGGTGGGAGGGGGAGGAGCCTTAGGGGACAGGGGACTGACCACGGATGAGGTTTCATCAGACTGATACCCAATAAGTGTTGTTAAATGTCACCTGTTCTCACTTCTCCCTTCTTACCACCCTTCCCCTTCTAGCTTGAGGGCTCCAGTTGCTCCTACCAGTGTTGGCAATGCCATGCTCAGTGTGCTCAACTGTGTACATGCTGGCATTTATAAACCCCCCTCTGCAGGAATCTTAAAGTCTACTCATCCCAGAAACCACCTTCCTGTTTTTAGGCCATTGGAGAAAATGGAGCAGAGTTTTAGTTTTAAAAAGTGTCTATATGTTGGGCTAGAGACTCAGACTCAGGAGACGGCTTATCTGTTGACCTGAAGTGATTTCCCCCTTAAGGGATCATATCTGGGCCTCTCCATGAATTCTGAGATTATAGGGGGTAGAGACAAGTTTGTTTTCTGGAAAGCCAATGTTCTGTGAACCCTAATACTTCCCCAGAAGCAATTCCTTAGCCAGGAGTAAAGCAGGCAGGGAGGCAAAGTCTCACCACTTTCCTCCTCGGCACAGCCTGGGGCTGGCTAGGTTGTCTGGGGAGCTGTGTCTGCAAGCTGAGTTTGTAGTTTGGCAAACAGCACTTGTACTGTTCCTGTACATGTAGAGGAAAACCTTTAAACCCCCACACACACTTTGGTGGAAGAAAAGGCAGAGATGTGGAAGGGAATCTTTTTTTTGCTATCACTGCCTAAGTTTCTGTTAAACTCCTGAGAATTTCATTCCCACAAGCAATGGATGTCCTTTCTCCAGCAATTCCACAGTTAGGAATATACAGTAGGAGATAAACAAAAGTGAAAAGAATATTCTAGAATAGTGTTGCCCAATGGAAATATAAGATGAGCCACATAGGTACTACTGAAATTTTTTTTTTTTGAGACAGAGCCTCAAGCTGTCGCCTTGGGTAGAGAACCGTGGCATCACAGCTCACAGCAACCTCCAACTCCTGGGCTTAAGTGATTCTCCTGCCTCCACCTTCCAAGTAGCTGGGACCACAGGCGCCCGCCACAACGCCCGGCTGTTTTTTGGTTGCAGCTGTCATTGTTGTTTGGCGGGTCCAGGGCTGGATTCGAACCCGCCAGCTCAGGTGTATGTGGGCTGGCGCCTTAGCTGGTTGAGCCACAGGCGCCGAGCCTACTGAAGTTTTTTGTAGCCACATCTTAAAAGGTAAAAAATAAAATAGTAAAATTAATTTTAATAGTTCCTTTTGCTTCTATATCAAAAATATCATTTCAACTAAGGCTGCCCAAGTTAACAAATAAAATACAGAGCATTGGCCAGATACGGTGGCTTATGTGTATAATGTATGTAATCTTAGCACTTAGAGAGGCTGAGGTGAGAGGATTATTTGAGGCCAAGAGTTTGAGAAAAGCTTGGGCAACATAATGACACCACAACTCTACAACAAGTAAAAAAATAAATAAATAATCGAAGTGGCACATGCCTGTGGTCCCAGCTACTTTGGAGGATGAGGCAGGAGAATGGCTTGAGCCCAGGAGTTAGAGGTTACAATGAGCTATGATGACACCGCTGCACCCCAGCTCAGACAACAGAGTGAGACTGTCTCAAAAATAAAACAACAACAACAACAAAAAAAAAAACCCCAAGAAAACAAAGCCCTCAGTTAAATTTCAGATGAACAATGAATAATTCTTTTGAACATAAGTTTATCTCTTGTAGTATCTGGGATATACTCATACTAAAAACATTATGTTTATCTAAAATTCAAATTTAACTGGGTATCCTTTTTCAAAATCGGCCAACAAGAATTTCAACATGCAATCAATCTAAAAATTAATGAGGTTTTGTGCTTTTTTGTACTAAGTCTTTGAATCTGTTGGATATATTATACTTATAGCACATTTCAATTTGGAATATCCACATTTCAGCATTCAATAGCTACATATGGTTAGTGTGTACCATTTTAGACAGTACAGACCTAGAATTTTCCTCTCAGTGTTTTGTTATGATAGCCAAAAAAAAAAAAAAAAATCATAAATTAGCGAAATGGCCCAAGGGCTGTTTAACTAACAATTAACATCAAGGGGTGCTAACCACTTTGTCCTAAGGGCTTTACCCGTATTATCTCATTTAGTCCTGCAAACCATGTGAAGAAAGGACTGCTGTAAACTTCCTTTGGTATTCAATGAATCCTCACCAATAAAAAAAATAAAAATAAAGGCTCAGTGTCCATAGCTCAGAGAGGAAGGCGCCAGCCATATACACAGAGGCTGGCAGGTTTGAACCCCGCATAGGCCAGCTAAAACAACAATGACAACTGCAATCAAAAAATAGCCGGGTGTTGTGGTAGGCACCTGTAGTCTCAGCTACTCAGGAGACTGAGGCAAAAGAATTGCTTAAGCCCAAGAGTTTGAGGTTGCTGTGAGCTATGATGCCACAGCAGTCTATGGAGGGCAACATAGTGAGACTCTGTCTCAAAAAAATAAATGAATAAAAATTAAAATCCCTCCTTTTGTACAAATGAGTAAAGTAAGGTCCAGGAAGCTTATGTAACTTGCTCCAAAAAGTGGTGAAGCTAGGTGTGGACAGATGAATAGTATAAAGAGGGACTAATACATATATAGACCAACTAGCATAGCCTTTAGAAGGACATACACCAAAATAACATCATTTCCTCTGGGTGGTGGATTTTGAGATAGGCAGTATTGGAAGTTTGGTCTCTACTGTCAAACCAACCAAACTTTCAGCACTTGGCTCTGTCCTAACAAGTGACTTTACCTTTGTAAGTCTCAGTTTCCTCATCTGTAAAATAAGAGTCGTAACTGCTCACCCCACAGTCTAAATAAGATAAGGGAAGTGGAGAACTAGGCTACAGCCACCCATTCCTTAAGTCCTCCGCGATAAAACTATTACTGCTCTTCCTAGTGTCTTGTCCTTTCCTGTTTGATTAGACATGTTTATGTCGACCATCGATCAGTTTTATAAAGAGAAAAAAGTTACTTTCAAAAGAAAGGAGAACAGTCCAAGAAGCAGCTGGAGGAAAAGGAAGGAAAGAAGCAAGAGAGTGAGGGGAGGAGAGAAAGAAAATCCACCCAACAACAGCAGGGAGAGATAAGGCATTGGGGCCCTACAACTTTCAGAGTGACCACCAGAGGGCACTGCTTGCAGTTTTTCACAGCTGGGTAAAATAAAAAAACCAAAAACTTGGAATGAACAAATCACCAAAATCATTCATCTTAACTGAGGTGCTCACTCTCAAGAACTCTGCTACCTGAAAAGTTGCCAACAACTTTGACTTTTTAGTTGCCTATAGGTGGTGTGAAAGACAGTGGGAAGCAGTCTCCCAGCTGTGGGCAGTCTGGGTCTTACCTTTGGAGTCTTCTTTGGCCAAGTGACCACAGGGACCCCAGTGATGGCCAGACTGGGGTCATCATCCGCATGCTCCTTCAGGACATTCTGTGGCCAAACAAAGGAGCCATATTAGCCCAGAGTGAAGGGGAGGTCTCTGAAGGGGGGTTGGTTGGATGTAACCCAGCAAAAGACTCAGTACTCTCCACAAAGTCAAGCCCTGCCCACTACTTCATCATCACTCACACATTCAATAGAAAACAAACCACCAGGGTACTCTGGGGTCTTCAAAACATGCAACATCACAATTTCCAAACAATATATATATATATATTTTTGAGACAGAGTGTCACTTTGTCACCCTTGGTAGAGTGCTGTGGTCTCATGCCTCACAGCAACCTCAAACTGTTGGGCTCAAGCATTCTTCCTGGCTCTGCCTCTCAAGTAGCTGAGACTACAAGGTACCCCCACGCCTGGCTAGTTTTAGTAGAGAAAGAGTCTCGCTTTTGCTCAGGCTGGTCTCAAACTCCTAAGTTCAAGCGATTCTACTACCTCAGCCTCTCAGAGCGCTTAGCATTACAGGCGTGAGCCATTGCACCCAGCCCAAAAAAGTTTTTTAAAAGCAAATCATACACCTCCCTCTAATTCCCACATATTTATTACCCATGATCACACTTATAAAACTAAACACTTATCCTGGGCATTACAGACTCTCAGGCACACAATTTCATTTGATTCTTACCAAGTACCCTGGGAGGGCTGGGCAATGACACCACACATCCTCCAATGTACACAAATTCAACTACGTACTTAGAGAAACAAATAAGCAAAACCTGTTCTACTGTGAGATCTAGACGTCTTCAAAAAGCCCTCACTCTATCACCTAAGCCCAAGAGCTGGAGGTTGCTGTGAGCTGTGATGCCACAGCACTCTACCGAGGGTGACAAAGTGAAACTCTGT